AAATATATATATATATATATATATATATATAATTATCATCTAAGAAATTACTAAATATTTTTTAAAAGTTTGACTTTTTTTAATGGAAAAATTGTAGAAAATTTATTGAAGATTTTGATGGTAAATAAATAAAAGAAAAGGAGAGGTAATAAATGGGAGAGAAATGGCAATAAATGATGACAGTTGGAAATAGAGTTGGAAGGAAGAAGGTTGGTGGATGAATTCATGACCGTTTGATTAACTCCCATCTGCTCATCGTACGGTAACCCATTCTCTTCAATTGCGTGCCATGCCCCTCACTCGGTGCATAATAATCTGTTTCCTATTTATTAAATTAAATTAAATCGTACCATTTTCCATATTTTTTTATTTTTATTTGCTATTAAATAACGTCCAATTTCAAAACTACAGTTCCATGTTGATCGGGAAAGAGAATAAATGTTAGTCTTATAAAGGACTTGATATCTTTTTTATCAGATGTGTTTTAAATACCGTGATTTCAGATGTGTGGACAAAATGGAGAATATCTGTAACGGGTGGACTGAGATGTTACAAATAGTATCAGAACCGGGAACCGGACTGGTGTGTGAGTGAGGACGTTGGGCTTACAAAGTTACAAGGGGGTTGAATTGTAAGATCTTGTATTGGTTGGGGAAGGGAACAAAACTTGTCTTATAAAGGACTGGATACCTCTTCTATCAGACGCGGTTTAAAACTCGTAATCCACATGTATGGACAAAACGAACAAATATATAATATATTTGGTTTGAGATGTTGCAATACATGTATTTTTCAATTTTATCTTTGATTACAAGATGAAAATTTCTTATATTCATTTATAATTAAATATAAATTTTGTTTAATGATTATATGTTTTTAAAAATGTATATTTTCAATGGATTTTTAGAGCATCTTCAATAGATTCTTTAAAATATAAACTTTAGAGATTTTGTTTTAACTGATTATTAAAAATGAAGAAAATAAGGGATAAATGTAAAAAAAAAATGCGGGAGAGCTCTAAAAAATGATGGATTAGAAAAGGAAAAAAATGGTTTTTTTCCACTTCTACCAATGAAAATACAAGAAATTAAATATTTAGAGAGAAAAATAATATTTTATTAATTATATTGAATATTTTATATTATATTATAAAACATTTGACAAAAAATTTTAAAAATTAATTTTTTATGTATGGAGTACTGTTTATTGATGCATATTATTTAAATTTCAAGTTTACAAATAATTATACATAAATACAATTTATTAAAACTTCATGTTTAAATTTGTGTAACTAATAATAGACTCATAAACGGAACATGATAAACATCTCATTTTAAATATAAAAAAATGTAAAATATAATTAAGATAATCATTGTAACAGAATACTTATATATTATATTTATAAAAAATTATATTAAAACCAAAAATAAATTACTTATTTATCAAACCTAAATTAAGTTATGATAAAAAAAACATTGAATTAAATTAGTTACACAAAAAATATAACTTTTAAATAGTTAATTTGATACTAACTTCGATATTTTTTTCTCCCAAAGTTTTATGATATCTTTAAATTTATATTTTATTAAAAAAACATTATTATTTTCTCAAAACCACGTAAAATCATATTATAACATCGATAGAGACAAAAAATAAAATGAAACATTAAAATTGAAATGCATCTCGCTGCATTGTGTGAGTACATTCTATTATAGTTAATATTAGAATCTTCAAACTGGAGAAACTGTTGAAGATGAACATATACGTATCTAAATAATTCGTAGGAGAACGTATGTATATCAATTGTCCTCTACTTCTCGTTGAAATGACTGAGAATCGGCTTTGTACAAAAAACTATAAACTCGTTTAACTCGTCCATTAACAACTCAATTAAACTTAATTTGTTAAAGTGCGAACCCGTTAAACCATCAATTAAAAAAAATTGAAAACTTAACCCATCGATAATACATATAGATTTAGGGGTCGTTTACCAAACGGTTACCCGGGTAAGTACTTAACAAGTTACATTACCTACCGGATGAATATGACACTTACCAAGAATCTTATCTGGTGAGAGCGAAGACAATAACCTAAAGTCTTACCTGGTAAGTGAGGGTGACGACCTTTACCATGGTTAGCGCTTACAAGGTAAATTGTTGCATACGATTTACCGTTTTCATGGACTAAAATCTTATTTGGTAAATAAGTAATAATGTTGACTTTTGTCGGATAAACGTTTAATAAACGCTCCTAATATCTCAACAATTCACTCAATAAAGGGTTTTAGATTTTTTTTAAATTAAACTATGATTAATTTTAATATCCAAAATAATTTTGAATAACTTGGTCGGCTTCAAGACCATGTCAAGCCACAATAACAGTAACAAACGTTAAAAATTACATCTCTAACAGATTCTTTAAAATAAATATTTTAATATTTTTATTTAACATATTTCCCAAAACCCGTTTTAAAATGGAAAAAATATGAGAGAGAGCGTGAAAATTTCCAAATTTGGAGAACTCTCCAAAAATGATTATTAATGGAACGGAAATTAATTTTTTTTTCCAATGAGAATCCTTGAAATTAAATGCATACGAGAGAAAAATAATATTTTTATGAAAAGTACTGAATATTTCTATAATATAATTTATATTTTAATCTCCAAATTGGACAAGTGGTTGGAGATGAATATAAATTCTCAATGGAAATTTTGACTTTTGATTATCCAAAAATGAAGAATATGTTGGAGATGCTCTTAGGTCTTCCATATCAATTTGACCATAATTTACTAACTTTATGAGATCCTGAATATAATAGATGGAAAATCTTCAACGATCTTTTTATGGGGCGGAGTCGAAAGTCTAGCATCTAATAGCAGGTTTCAGATCCAACGGCTTATATTCTCCATTTCCCCGAGTAAACGTTGTGTTCGGTCAATGAATCAATATATGTGATTTCTATCTTCTCGAATAATATCGAGACCCAAAAAGTGTTATCATTTTACTCAATGAATGTGACAAGTGTTATCATTCTTTATCACTAGTCACTTGGGGCGGACCTACATACAAGGCCCCAGGTACACAAGTTAGTACACAAGTTACTGTGCAATTGATTCGTCGGGAAAAAATTAGAGGCCTAACAAGTGCACCTGCTTTAAAGCGATGTCTGTTTTCTTAAGTTAACAAAAAGTGGTTACAGTCTATAGGTATTATAGATCACAGGTTCAGATCTCTCTGATTGTTTTTTTTAACTTTTTCAGTATCAATCATACGTTTATGAATTACCAGTTATCAAACAGACTACTACTCTTCGAGATAAGGGTAAGGTTGCATACATCTTATCATTTTTACATCGTACTTGATGCAAGATTTACTGAATTGGTTTAAAGAGAGAGAGAGAAAATATAGGACAAAGAAGAGAAGAATGGGGGGCATAGTTCCTCACTGCATGCTTTCTTCAAAGGGTCTTTCGCCTATCAGTATGTGAGTCTTTAGGCTCCTAGAAGGTCAGGAGTTCACACCTTACCAAATGTGAGAAGGATGTGTGAGCTTATTTATTCTACTTGTCGTATATAAATATTATATACTTCAAAAAGAATATCACCATTAGCACAGTACAAACTTTAGACTTTAACACCTCTTAAAAAATTAACATCACTTAATTATAATCATATCCTTTATACCCGTTATCTGTATATAATTTACTGAATCTGTTAAATTTAATTTTGATTTTAAAATGTGGTCATAAAGTACTTTGAGACCATGATGGTAAAGATAGGCCATGGGGTGGTAATTAATTGGCATTGCCCTTATTACATGTCTTACAACCATAGCAGAGATATTAAGACAAGTAGCCCCTAGAATGGTTAACATACAAAAGGAACAACATCCACTTTACACTTAAAAGTTGGTGGTAAGGTTTTGAATTTAATTTGATGGTACCTCTGCTATCTTTTATTTAGGGGTTGTTTGTTTACTTTTTGATAGTTCTATTAAAAGATAACTTCTGAATCATTAAGAGGTGAATTCTGTTTAGCAAAAAAAAAAAAAATTGTCTCTTAATGGTTCTAAAATCATCTGAATGATTTTGTATCATGGACATCTCTTAACCATTCAACACCCTAATTTCACTATAAATAACTATCAAACAATTATATTTAATTTTGCACTATATCATGAGAGCATCTTAATCATTCTGCACCAAACAACCTCTTAGTAATATAGTATCATATTAAAACACCGATCTACCTATTTAATGATAAAGTATTTGTTCGATTTTGTCTCGAGGGTCTTTGTGATTCCAGTCTACGACTACGATTGGTGTCCCAGTGCACAAAGACTTCTGCTTTGTTGGTTATGTGTCTCGTATCACTCAAAGCATTGTAAGAGCAGCTCCAACTCAACATCATTTTGGTGTTTAATCAACACCACCCGAAGAATATTGATAAATGATGATTGAGATGAGATTCTGCATTTTGAACCACGAATATTGGGTTTTCATTTCAGTTGTAGGTGTAACGAGAGCACTATTAGAGATATGGCACAAATAAATATTAGAAAAAGAGCTCCAACATAAAGATCTTTGGTTGTGCCACAATAAATATCAGATACTTTTGACATTTGAAGTTCAAGCTCAAACCAATCAATCGGGCACCACCATTTTGATTATGCCATAATATATTTGGTATGAGAGTGTAGAGTATCACCATTTTGATGCAATATTATATGTCGTTTTTTTGGTGGTATGCAGTGTTTTTGGAGCTGCGTACTTGCGTTGATAAGAGTTGGATTCATTATCATGACATGTTTTATAATCATGTTGTAATTTATTGAAACTCCAATTATTTTTGTTTAGGGTAGCAAATATACTAAAACAAAAACAAATACAACATCGACAGTTACTGTAAGATGTAGACGCAGAAACATAAACAAACAAAAATCAAACAAACAGAAAAAAAAACGACGACTAACGAAAGACTGAATAAAACCACAAGCATCAAAAAAACAAAACAACAACGAGCTACAAGAACCCATCTAACCAATTGTAACCCTTAGTTGTATTGTGCACTTTTTGGTGAAGAATTTCAACCAATTTAAGGAAATAGGATTTAGGATCCGATTGAATTTTGGCCCGGTTCAATTTGGGCTAATAAGTCCACTTATTTCGGTTCGGGTTGGGCCGGGCCGGGCGGGCCGGGTAGCGGTCCAACTATTTTGCTTAAGAAATTTCAATTATCTTGATAAAACCTAATAAATTTTTGAAACCTTTTTTTAAAGATATTTTCATATTATATTTTATATAAAAATTAATTTGTTTCTTTATTTACTAGCCTCCTACTAGCTTATAGGCATGGCAACAAGGCAGAGATGGAGCGGGTTTTTAATCCCCGACCTCGTTTTTAGTAATAATCTCGGCCCCAGTCCCCGATCAAACCCTTGTCAAACCTGGGTCAAATCTCATTAAGAATATTCCTTAGTTTGAGTCTACGGGGGATCTTCGGTCCCGACCCCAACCCCTGTTTGAGTAACAACCCCCGACCTCAGCCCCATGACCCATTTGGGCACAGAATCCCCCGTCCCATTCGGGTCAGGTGAGCCGGGTTCCCCACTGGTCGGGCAAATCACCATCCTTACTAGCTTAGGGGACTATACATGTTATTTACCAAATTTCTCTTACCCCTTAAATTATGTTGACATAATAATATCAGTCTATTAGGAAACGACTTTTATTTGGTCAGTGATTAATACCAACGCATGTCGCACCTTTATCTGATTAGCACTTATCTAATTTATGTTGCTAACTGCCTCCTTATATACCCTTAATTTTTATTAAATCGTGAATAAGCATTATCTCACATTTTTTTTTAATATATAAAAAGTCTTCTATCTATATGTTGTCTAACGAGTTCGAACGATACTATAGAAACCATTTTGTGTAGTAAAAGATACTCGTGCATAAACTTTATTTTGAAAAAGCAAATTCTCAAATACAGAAAAAATTCGAACAATAGAAGTTGGATTCACGCGAGACCAATATGTTTTTGTAAGACTCGCAAGTCCAATTTTTTACACTTGAATATTCACAGCAAAATGTTGTGAAGGTAAAAAATGTTGATTCTTCACAGCAAAAACACTATGAAAGTTACATTCATAATTTTTTGTTATAAAGTTTCAAATGTAAAAATGATTGCACGAAAACAGGCACGTGTACTTAAGTATTTATAATTATAAGACAATTTATATTTAATAAATAATTTAAAATTTTCTTTTCGTAAAAATTAAAGTATTCTTGTTTATTATGACTTTGGTGGTAACTTCGTGTCGGTGTTTCAAATGGCAAGGAGTTAAAGACTTGCTGGTAGTAGATGACTAAATTTCGAAACTGGTCCTTCAACTATTTAACAACCTTCAGTATTGGTCCAAAAGTTTTATATTTGTATATTTTGGCTTATAACTTTCTTTCCTCCATCTATTATGATAATGTAATGCTAAGTTATACATCACATGACAATGATATTTGTTTTTCTTCCTATTTTTTAATTTTCAAATTTTATTATACATTTAGGGATCGTTTACCGAACGCTTACCCAGTAAATGCTTATCGGTAAAATTCAACACTATCACGTATTTACCGGATAAGATTTTAGTCCACCAAAACGGCATTGTATGCAACAATTTACTGGTAAGTGCTGATTGTGATAAAAGTCGTCGTTCTCATTTACCGGATAAGATTTTTGGTCATAGCTATATTCATCTGGTAAGGTAATGCGACTTGGTAAACACTTACCCAGATAAGCTTTTGGTAAACGGCCCCTAATGAATTATGAAAAAAGAGAGAGAAAATATTTATTTACAAATTCAAAAGAAAATCACTCATGATTATGTAAAATGGTAAACAGACTACACACATATACGTTGAACTTAACCGTATTTGTTTCACCTTCAAATAAGAAACTGTGTATTTCAACCATTAATACATCCAAATATAATTTATTAAAACTGTTTTTTTTTTCACTTAACGAGAATGTTACACGATAAGATAATTGAATGTGATGTCTCTTGCAGATAAACGTTTACCATGTAAGTGTTTGATAAACAGTCCCTAAAGACTAAATTTCACTTACAACTTTTAATTTATTCATGTAAACATTGATAATCGAGTCTCGTTATTGTCGACAGAGTAGTGATATGATTTTGGCAACTCAAGGGAAAAAAAAACCCCTTCAAGTGTGCACCAAATGTAATAAAAATAACTTATTGGACCAAAATTGACAATTATCAATACTTCAGGGTAAAATTTTGCACTTTACTCTAAATGGAAATAGCAAAAATGGGAGTGGAAGTATACTTATGAGCTCGTCTATAATAATTTCACAACACACAAAACACGGATTCGTTACCCTTTGTACCTCCTACCAGCTCTACTCCATCGAGATCTCGAAGAAGATGGAACAGAGCTCCAATGGCTTCTTCTCTACTATCTTCATTCTAATCGTCTTCTTCATCTCATCTTCTGAATCATTCTATCTCCCCGGCGTTGCTCCTCGCGATTTCCAAAGGGTACGTACTCTGAAACTCCTCGATATCTGTTTGAATTTTGGATCTAGTGTGTTCGTCTGATGTAATTTGGTTTATGTAACTCGAATCGACATTTTCGATGTGTTTAAAACGAATGTTTTCTGATTTTACTTCAGGATCTCAGTTTATAGCTTATGATGTGCACAAATCGAGCTTATGCTTAGGGTTGTGGGTTTGGGTTTGAGGTTAAAGTAGGACTCTCTATTCCGTTTTTGAGTTTTGTGCATCGTTGATCTGTAGTAGACGTAGATTTTGTGTTGGTAGATCTAATTAGTTGAATGTTTTTTGCTTAATGGTGAAGAATGGTGTTGTAGTTGCTTGTGTAATGCGGGATTTATGGTATTGAGAAAGAAAGTTCTGAATGTGTTTAAAGTAATTGTGGGGTGATTGAAATGATAAGTGTTCTTTTGAGTTCCGGGGTGTATGCATCTCTAATTGGGAAGTGATGATTACTCATTGTAAAGTGTAGATCAGCTAAGTGGCAAATGATGGTTAATATTCGTGAAGTACAAATCTGTGTAAGTGATGAGTGGTGGTGTAGTCAACATATTGTTTGTTGACCACCTTATTTATTGATCTGTTTGAATCTGATGGTGTAAGGATATGTAGATGGGTGTTGCTATATGCACTCCTATTTATGTGAGGTCAAATCATAGAAAGTAAGTTTAAGTCTTGATGTTGATGCGTGTGACGAGGAAATTAATTGGTAGGGGGTGCATTTATCAATATAAAGCACAATTACGTTAAGCACATCTACGACTTGGTTTCTCAATACTATAAATCCGGCACCATACAAGCAACTAAAACACCATTCTTCATCATTAAGCATGCAACATTCAACTAATTAGATCTGCCAACAGCAAATCTGTGTATACCAAATCAGCGATAGGCAAAAATTCAAAATTGACTAGGAAGTTCAATTTTAACCTCAAACCTACAACCCTAGAGGTAAGCTCGATTTATACATATCATAAGCTATAAGCTAATTAGAAAGAAGACTGTTGGCAGATCTAATTTTTTCCCACCTAGGTGTTTGATTTATATTTATTCTATAATTTCTGAACTTGTTCTGATATGGTGCTTATATAAGATTGATATCTTTAACTAAAGGACTTTGTAGCCGCTTTGTGCATTAAGATTGTTTATCTTACCAAAGGGCCTTTGGCCTCATAGCAGGGACGGATCGTGTGTAGTGCATATAGCGGCACGGGCCACCGCTTCATTCCTCCGCCGTAGTAAAAAAAAATTATATAGGGTCGTGAAAAGTGTCACATTATCAGTTTGTTGTGTGCCGACGTATATAGTTTGAATCTACAATGAGGACACAAGTTTCCCTTGATAGAGTTGGTTTGCGATGCTTTCCTTCCACCCCAGACATGAGTTCAAATCTTGTTATTGTCATTTTCTTAGTTTCTAGCTTTTAATTTCAAATTTATTATGTTTCTGAAAAAAAATTGCAACAAAAAACTTGAACGTAGGACCTCAAATATGAAAAGTAGTGAACTAACCAACAGACCAATGATGATTTTGTGAAAAATATCCCTATATTTGTTTCTTATAGTCAAATGGTGCCATCACTTGAAAAAACGTCTCTGCCTCCTAGGAGGTCCAGAAGGATGTGTGAGTTTATTTGTTGCATTTGTCATATATAAATATTATATAGTTTTGATCTTTGGTTAATTGTTAACGAATTGCGAATCTTCTTACCAGGGTGATCCTCTTCAAGTGAAAGTCAACAAGCTTTCTTCTACGAAAACGCAACTTCCTTATGAGTACTATTACTTGAACTATTGTAAGCCTACACACGTTAAAAACAGTGCCGAAAATTTGGGGGAGGTGTTAAGAGGTGACCGCATTGAGAATTCGGTCTACACGGTGAGGACCTTCCCATCCAATTCTTGGTCAAGGTTAAATTGACCACTTTTCTATTTTTTGAGTTCGCGTTTTTCCGGTTGCATATTATGATCTAAGTTTTGAATATCCGTTTCAGTTTCTTATGAGGGAAGAACAACCATGCAAAGTAGGTTGTCGAGTAAAGCTTGATGCTGAAACCGCAAAGAAATTCAAAGAAAAAATTGATGATGAGTACCGAGTAAACATGTATGTGCCACAGTCCCTACTTAATCGGAATGTTCATTCAGAGCCTGTTTGGTTTGTGGGATTTGTAATTGGATTCCGTTTCAATATTCGTTTTGGTTTAAAGGAAAGTCTGGAATTGAAATCCCACAAACATGGGATTAGGAATCCCATAATGTAGTTGGTATTTCGTGGGATTTTATAAGATTTGTTTGTAGTAATATTTTGAAATATGTTAAAAGCACCTGTTTTGTAATAATCAATTAATAAAAGGGAAGTTAAGGGAAATAGCCATTTTCAGGGACCAAATTCATCTCTTAGCCATTTCTCTATAGTGATTTCCAAAATATCACTACCTCCGCAAGTGGCACCTCAGTGACTTGCAGAGGTAGCTAAAAGACAAAAAAAAGTTCCCTTTTCACTCAGGTCCGCACGTGACACCTCCACAAGTGAGTGAAAATTAAGTTGAAGAGGTGTCACTTGCGGAGGTAGTGATATTTTAGAAACTTCCAAAGAGAAATGGCTAAAAGATGAATTTAGTCACTGAAAATGGCTATTTCTATTAATTTCCCTTAATAAAAAGGTAACTTACTTATTTTTATAATTATTTATAATTTGTTTCTAAAATTCCAAATCACCAAAGATTCAAATCCTTCCATGAAATCCAAATCTTTATTGAAATAGCACTTATTCAGATCAAACATTTGGAAAAAAGTTGTGACTTTATACGTCACTGCAAAAAAACCAATATACATAATGCCTTACATTGGATTTTTGCTATACATTGCAGGATTTTAGACAACCTCCCGGTTGCTGTTCTTAGACAGAGACGGGATGGTAGTCAGTCAAACACTTACGAACACGGTTTTCGTGTTGGTTTTAAGGGAAACTATGCCGGGGTAAGTTGATCGGATTTTTTTTTACTTGATCACTTCTTCGATCCAGAATGCGGTGAATTTAATCTCTCGTTTTACTTCAGAGCAAAGAGGAAAAGTATTTCATCAATAATCATTTGAGCTTTAGAGTCATGTATCACAAGGATCTTGAGACTGATTCTGCTCGAATTGTTGGATTCGAAGTTACTCCAAACAGGTTTTCGCTTCTCATTCCTGCTTTATGTTTGTAACATGATATTTGATTTTTCTTATCATTTTAGTGTCTTACGTTTTAGTTTTTAGTATATAACCTAATTGAAATTGTTTAATATCATTGACTCATTGAATAATAGTAAAAAAACTTGTGTATATATAAATTATATATCTATATTGAGTTGGTTTCCGCTAAGAATGGTAGTTATCTTGAGAAGGGTAAGAAAGGATCTTCACCCTTGGATCAACCCTAGTTGAAGATCAACTGAAAATACCCTTCTAAGCTAATTCATGGGTTATTTTGGGACTTAATCTGAACCATTAGAGAACACTATTTAAAAGTGATAGAGGGTCCAAATCCCTTCTTACACTTCTCATTTTAACTCATATTCTCACACGATCCTTCGTCTATATATAAATAAGAGATGCCTTCTTAGCATTATTTTGCTTCTCTCCTTAAATTATCTTTTTATCGGTATGAACCTATTTTCCGACTCATGCTTACAGCATCAGCCACGAGTATAAAGAGTGGGACGACAAGAACCCTCAATTGGTAACATGCAACCAAAATACCAAAAATATAATTCAAGGAAGCACCGTACCTCAAGAAGTCGATACAGATAAGGAGGTCGTATTTACATACGATGTTACTTTCAAGGTACCATCTAATATGAACAGTTAGTAGTTCCCCTATGGGTTGGGTCCTCGTGAGACCAACCTATTTTCATGAGATCCGTGAGACCAACTGTGAACGCACAAAAACACACTGAACTTCACAACAAAAACACTGTGAAGATAAAATAGACCTTTACAGTGTTTTGCTTTGAATATTCAGTGTTATTTTGTGGTCTCGCATGATCCCAACTCGTTCCCTTACAGTATGCAGTTAAAGTACCAATGACCCTACTTCTGATCCATTTTGATCTTTCCAGGAGAGCGATATCAAATGGGCGTCACGTTGGGACACCTATCTTCTTATGAACGATGATCAAATCCACTGGTTTTCGATCATTAACTCCCTGATGATCGTTCTCTTCCTTTCCGGGATGGTAGCCATGATCATGATGAGAACACTTTACCGAGATATTGCAAACTATAATCAACTGGACACACAAGAAGAAGCTCAAGAAGAAACCGGATGGAAACTCGTCCATGGAGACGTTTTCCGGGCTCCGGAATATTCCGGATTACTCTGCGTTTACGTCGGAACCGGCGTACAGATCTTCGGAATGACACTTGTGACCATGATCTTTGCTTCACTCGGGTTCTTGTCACCCTCCAACCGTGGTGGCCTGATGACCGCCATGGTTCTTTTATGGGTCTTCATGGGTTTATTTGCCGGTTATTCCTCCGCTCGCTTATACAAAATGTTCAAAGGCACGGAATGGAAGAAGAACACTTTGAAAACGTCGTTCATGTTTCCCGGTATCTTGTTCGCGATTTTCTTCGTTCTAAATGCGTTAATTTGGGGAGAGAAATCATCCGGAGCGGTACCGTTTGGCACCATGATCGCGCTTGTTTGCTTATGGTTCGGGATCTCGGTCCCGTTGGTCTTTGTGGGAAGTTACTTGGGTTTCAAGAAACCTGCCCTCGAAGATCCGGTTAAAACAAACAAAATCCCGAGACAAGTACCCGAACAAGCTTGGTACATGAAGCCCATATTCTCGATTCTCATCGGAGGAATTCTTCCATTCGGGGCGGTTTTCATCGAGCTATTCTTCATCTTGACGTCCATTTGGTTGAACCAGTTTTACTACATATTCGGGTTCCTATTCATCGTTTTCGTGATCTTGATCATCACGTGTGCCGAGATAACCGTCGTCCTCTGCTACTTCCAGTTATGCAGCGAAGACTATCATTGGTGGTGGCGGGCTTACCTCACCGCTGGTTCATCGGCTTTGTACCTCTTTCTCTACTCGATCTTCTACTACTTCACGAAATTGGAAATCACGAAACTGGTTTCAGGAATTCTGTATGTCGGGTACATGTTGATCGCTTCGTATTCCTTCTTTGTGTTAACGGGCACGATTGGCTTCTACGCTTGCTTATGGTTTGTCCATAAGATCTATTCATCTGTGAAGATAGATTGATGTAAACAAGAGAAAACAAATCTCACACGGAGCAAATTGGAAATAGAAATGAATGCGAGAAATAGTTGAGTCAAGTCGAGTCCAGTCTAGTTGGTTACACGATGAAAAAGAAATGTGTTACAAAATTTTCGAAAGGAGTTGTTGTGGGTAGCGATTTTTTTTCGGTTAATTTTGAATTTTTGTATCTTATATTGGATTTGATAGAATTATGTGTTGTGTTGTGTTGGTTAATCAATTTGAATCCTATTTAGAGGCAAGTGTAAGAAAGTATTGTTATTTTGTTATAGATTTGCAAGCTTAATGAGCAACTAAACCATTTGTGATTGTGGTCAACTTTTGGTTTGTTTTGGAAGAGTTTATTTGGAATGTGACTTGTCTCATTGGGAAACCTGGTGAACCCGTCTCACTGGAGTCGGGGATCCGTTGTAAAAACGGGGACTCTGGGTGGAGATGGGGATCTCTAGAAGTAAAATCCTGGGTAAGGGGCCAGGTGACGTGATGGCAGGCCCGACCCATCCCCGTCCCCGTCCCCGTACATTAAATATACTTTTGCCGTTCCAAAACAACAAGTTAAAATATATATGTTTGTGTGTCCACTTTTAAAAGTAAATAACTAAATTCTCAAATTTACCCTTAATAAATACACTAGTATTTAAGAGGTGTGAGTAGAGAGAATGAAACAAGGGTAAAGATCTCATTTGATTTAACAAAAAAGTTAATAATTATGTTTGCTAAGATTGTATCATTTCAATTATGGACATTTGTTTTGGGACGAAAAGAGTATTATTTATAAATAATTAGATTTAGGGGTCGTTTACGGAGTGCTTACCATATCATTTATCTTACTGGATGAACATAGGAAGGACCGACAATCTTACCCGGTGAGAGCGATGATAAGTACAGCGAGTCTTACTCGGTAAACACTTACCGAGTAAATTATTGTATATGATACCGTTTTGACGGACTATAATCTTACCCGATAAAGTAAGTGAAAATGTTGACTCTTATCGGTAAACGCATACCAGGTAAGCGTTTGGGTAAAAGCCCCCTAGCATCTTTTAGAATTAGAAACAGCATTTTAACACTCCTTGTATAAATACATTTTTTCTAACTTATCTTGTATTTAGATAAATCACCCACCTCATCGTTACCAACTGAGCTACAACCTACAAGCCACATGCTATAAAATTACACATTTACCCATAAATCGTAATTTGCCATAAAATAAATAAAGGGTATATTTGTAAAAATGAAATCTTTTCTCATTCTGCTCAAAACCATAAGAACACAACATCAATGGCATAAATTTGATGAAATATTACAATCTTCAAGTGTGTGTTTTACATTGACAAAAGACATGAAAGCCAGAAGCTTTAACATTTCACTACGAATAACGAAAACAAAGACGAAAACGACAATAATAAGCTCGTGGACTCAAATTTCGAGTCTCGACCCGCTTAAATAACAATTCGCAAGCAGACGAACTTTATATATACACCAATCTTTAATGTTCCGTATACATAACAACGATGCTTTTGAACCACATCGGTGTGTTGCATATCTGTACAACTTCACCTTCGGCAAAAACCCGTCATTTGGTCATGGCGATCTTCGTAAAATTTTAAATATAAAAATTAAAAACCCAATTTTGAGATCATCATCATCAACTGCAAATGGCTTCAACTGAAAGCTTCTTCATTACTTTTGGGCATGGATCACCTCCAAATATTTCAGGTGTTACAGGTACTGTGCATGATTGTTGTCCAATGCATAACTGCAATTATTCCAAAACCAAAAGAAAAAAAAGCATTAGGGACTGTTTGACAATTGCTGAATGGTTTGGTGCAGAATGATTAAGTGGTCAGAATGATTAAGAGGCTCTCATGATAAGATGTACGCAGACTTAACCTCTACCCCAAAGAGTATAACGATTATTTCCGTGAAGACACAAACCATTATGGAGCTACGAAGCAGAAAAGGAAGCAAGTACCTTATTGAAGGCGTCATACGAGTTATGGGCATGACAACTACCCTCGCGGTAGCTACCACAACCCCCGAGCGGCGTGCCAAAACTAGCAAATTTAATGGACGATATCTTCTGGCCTGGGCTGCACGAAAGATGCGCTTTCGGCCTTAGGGGTTTCGTGACTTTACCGGAAGCTTGCATTTCATAATTCATCAATGAAGGTTGCCATTCGTATATATCGGCACACACGCTATAAACCGCTCTTTTCACCAATGATATCCCATACGGGATTCCTCCCAATTCTTCAAAAACGACCAACAAGTTTCCCCTGGGTTTAAGCCATGACCGCGGCACGTGATACCTGAAACAAATTTTAGAAATGTCTGTAGTGAAAAAGGCACACAGTTTTAGAAATCCCTAAAATGTCCCTTTCAAAAGGAGGGTAGTTGACATTTCCAAAATAAATTCCCACTGTGAAAACGACATACAGTTTAAAAAATGTGTAACTATTACTCTTTTTAATCAACTAAACGACAATTTTACCCTTAATTTTAAGGGCATAATTAATTTCTCTATCTCATAATTAAGGGTGTTACCAGAAAGAAGACAACTTACTTTTGAAAGTGGACACTTATTTTGGGACGAAGGGAGTAATGATCATAATCATCTTAGAGAACTTAATGTGTAATTGTAACCATTTTTAATTAAATAAATGACAATTTTACCCTTCAATAATAATGGAAGTAAATGAATTTCTCCATCTCATATTCAAGGGTAGAATTGGAAAGTAGACACTTCCTTTCGAAACCAGACACTTATTTCAGGATGGAGGGAGTAACGATTATAATCATCTTACACGAACTTTCAAGATTCAACGAAAAGATTGGTTTCTTACCATTTTTGCGAAGCTTCACCGCAATTACTTAGGCATCTTTTCTCGCTAAAATAGCCGGCGTAACTACAAGTGCTACAAGAACCCGACGCCTTGTATGCGGGCCAATGACGTCCAACGCTTTGCCCGTTTATCCATATTTGACCTTTGCCCATACTACTCATGTCCAAAGCCAAAGGTTCGTTCCCACCCGGAGCATTGAAGATAGTCTTCGGGACATAAAGAACATATATCAATTCAAGTAACACTTTCCTTTTTGGGATGTCCCTAAAAAATTGCAATTTCCCTTTTCCGGAAAGGTTTCAAGGGAAGTTACCAAAAGATTCATATAAGATATCTCTTTTGGTAACCATGGGTGTCTGGTACAGCTTGAGTGCACCTCGACTAATCCCATGGGGTCCTGAAGTTAACAGTCGGGCAAACCCTCTACTGACCTTGATGGGACTTGAATCAGTGATAATGTCTTATGGGACAGAGGAAGTATGAAGTAAAGGTTTGGTGTACCATGTACCGTAACATGATTTCAAGAAATCTTTAAGCACGAAATGGGAATTACCTTATACCATGTCAATGGTTGTCGTTGAGACACAAACGAACCTTGAATCCACTCAACGGATGAACTACCCATAAGCGAGTGAAGACTTAGAATTTCGCCTTTAAGCCCAACCTAGTGGGACATTCAAAGTTCAAGTAAGAATTACGTGGCTTGCGTCATTTAGCGTTCCACATTTTCATTTCGAATTACAAGATTTGACTTGAAAATAAAGATGTGACCGTAGATCCCACTTATTTTATACCAAATCAAACAAACCTAGTAAGTCCCACTCAGAGGTGGGTCAGCAGGTGGTATGTACACAGACCTGACCTCTACCTCGAAGAGTAGAGTAGCCATTTCAGTGAAGACCCTACAAATATATATATATATATATATATATATATATATATATACATATACACACACACCCACACAAGAATTTGGATGAGGGCCATACAATGGAAAGTTTCTAAAGGACAAACCTTATAAGACCATTTTTGCCATGTCAAGTCTCTCTTTCCTTCGTTGAGACCATAGAGTGTGACCGGACCAAGAACACCAGTATTCCATGTCTCAAAATGCTTACCGATATTCTACCAAATCAAATAAGAGAACCATAAGTCACCAACACCCACAAGATTCACATACATTTGCATCGACTGAGGTTCAGGGGAAAACCCCCAAAAAAGAATGAAATATTGAGGAACACCCTAATAACCATTTATCTATACCGTATGCACACGTGCATATAAGTAATTGAAGATGTTTCCTCATTTTTATGCATGTTATGCACATGTGAATACCCAAAAAATTACTTATATGCACATGTTCATACCATATACATGAATGGTTATTAGGATGTTCCTCAACTTTTCATTTTTTGCGGTTTTCCCTGTATGTATATGTATATGTATATATATATATATATATATAGAGAGAGAGAGAGAGAGAGAGAGAGTTATACCGGGAGACCAACTGCAGCACTTAGTAGCGAAATCTTGTTCAGACCAGGTCTTAGATTTACCGGCTTACTAAAAGTTACTTTTGGATTTGATTGACTTCCATAGACGGTTCCTGTGAAAAAAGCAAATAGATTCATATGATGAACTTTGCAAGTTTCCCAATAAACGAGCACAGTATATCCCACCTAGAGGTGGGGTCCATTGAAGGTAAGATGTACGCAGACATGACCTCTACCCCAAAGTAGTATACCGCCTTTTTCGATTAAGTAATGACCTAAATAAGGATCTCGTTGTTATCTCGAAAGTTCTCACCTGATAGTTGGCCATTGATGAAAACATGCAAAGCATGACCAGCAGATTGGATCGTAAGTGTCGGCCACTTCCCACTTCTCACGAACCCCTCGTTGGATCCAATCTTGACACTGAGTAGACGAAGTGCAACAATAAGCCCATAACTCTTCTATATCTAACATTAACTGTTATATCAAACCAAACCCGTATATCCCACACAATGTTGCACTTACTCTGTCATGTACCACAAATAATCCGAAGAATCTCTAGTGACGTTAAGTTGCTCCAGTAACCCGACTGTTGTAAACGCGTTGTCGTCATATGATTCGGTTTGATCGTTGTATGACTGCCAAGCAAATCCGTTCCCCTCGGGGGTCATCTTCATCAGCGCTGTCTGTGCACCCACCTATAATTCAAATTCACAGTTAGCAGCCTTCATCACCAAACTATATACAGGGTATTTATTGAAAACTCGTTTAACTAAATCACCCAAACGCAGCCATTTACGTATATAACCCGAACTCTCCATCCCAAAATAAACGCAAACATTTAACTTTGACACATCTTTAGAACGAAAATAATGAACATTTTTATAATCTTTCTCACCCTTGCCGTATTGTAAACAGTGTTCTTGCAGTCCGGGAGGATACTGATCGACCAAGGTGGCAAATTGTAACGTTGGTTCCTGAAGTTCACTGTTGCGTAAGCCGCTCTGTTGTTATTTGAAAGGAAAGCAGCGCAGCCTCCAGCTTTGTATTTGTAAACGTATGCCTATGCGAAAAACGACAAATTTAAGAGGTGGGGTCCACTGGGGTCCGCTGCTGATGCGAAATGAAGTTATTGTGAACCAATAAAGTGAATAAAAATCCAACCTTTTGATAGTTTCCAAGTGTGATAACAGCGGGATCGCCATTTACTAACGCGGGTTCACATAGTTTTATCGCTCTATGCAAATCTTTAAGATGTCCCCACTTCGCTTCCCGTTTTAGTCCTGTAAATTATCCAAATTTAGTAACTAACTTTACGTAGGGAAACCCGTCACAAAGACCAGACTTTCAAGTCAATGAAACAGACGGGTAGTTTCAACTTCGTTTTCTTAACGATGATATCTGTTGATGATGACAAAATAAAAGAATCTTTGCAGGTGAAATCCGATACCTTTCAGTTGACTTGTAATGAAGATAATTGGAAAACTACGTGCTTTTTAACTTTAGAACTTCCCAAGAAACAAATTATTGTCGTTTTCGTGGGATATGGTAGTAGAAATTCGAAATTTTTCCGTCTTAAAAGTAGCATGCATAATCAAGTTGCATCATAACCACTAATCACAACGAGTGTAAAAGGTGATATGATGCATTTGTGAACGATAGCGAGTTCTGTCACCTATATGTCCTTTTAGAAAAGCAACATACGTAACCATCCGTCCACGATGTGACAAGTTTTGACCAAAAAAACGCTTTAAACACTCCCTCTGTTCTAAAATGAGTGTCAGTATTTCTATTTTAGTATGTCCCAAAATAAAGGCATCCACAATGGAGGTTTTTATAAGAACCTCTCCACTTCAGGTCATAGACTCTTGTCCAGTCACGGGTTCTTATAAGAACCCATATGCTTGAACAAGAACCCGAATTCTGTTATCAAGGGTAAAATTGTCATTTGGTGATATAAAAAGTGTAATAATCACAAATTTCTAAAATTGTATACCTTTTTTATTGTGGGTATTTATTTTGGGACGAAAAAATACCATATTTGACCTTGACCACAATTAGACACTTTACATTTAAATTTCAATTAAGAAACACCATAAGCATGCACGCTAGTCGCTACTATGCTATACCAAATTCATCAACAGGGGCATAATAGTCATAACAAATTCATCAAAAGGGGCATAATAGTCATACCAAATTCATCAAGAGGGGCATCATAGTCATAGCTTGTGGCAATAAACGGGCCACCTGCAGTCCGACCAAAATTGGTTCCTCCGTGATACTATCAAAACAACAAATTTTACACGATATTTATCGAGCAAAGGGCAATAAAGGGAATAAATTTACATCATAACATTTAACTTTACCATATAGTAATTAATAAAAGATCCACCACCCTGAATGAACTTAGCAACCGAATAAGCCAAGTCTTCAGCTGGTCTGTAAGGAACCGCGCCCCCAAACTCAGTAAACCTGCATTTTCCCATTTTTGTAACGAATAAATCAACCAAAACAAGTATCATTTCAAGGATGAACAGTGTGAAATTACCATCCTGTCCAAGCTTCAGTCCACATTTTTCCATTTTGTAAAGAATAAATCAACCAAAAAGATGCAAAAAGAGTATCATTTTAAGGACGAAAAGTGTGAAATTACCATCCTGTCCAAGCTTCAGTCCACATTTTGGGTTTGTAGTTCTTATTGGGAGAGAAATAGTCACAGTAAAAACCATTACAAGTGTTGATCTGTCAAGATAACAAAGCAAAGATCCAATTGCTATTAGAATTCCAAAAAGTCAAATTGTCCATGTGCACTACATAAATAGACACATGGGGTCAAGAAAAAAGTCAAAATGGTGCACTTACAACTGGGTCAGGGGCATCATCTTGTTTGCACATGACCCATGGAACCCCGGTGCCTAGACCCACAGCCATTTGAGCTGCCCATTTTGCGTAGGCTCGAGCCGGTGATCCAAGTTCATACTCCAATGGTCCATATTCATTCTCAATCTGTTTCACATGAACTTTTACTAAGATACAAGTTCCTTTCATTCTCTTCCTTTTTGGAAGTAATATAATATTGGGAAATTGAGAGAAATAGCCAATCAGCAAATAAGGTTTCACTTTTTAGCTATTTTCTGATCCAAATTCACTTTTCACCCAATCCTTAAGCACAAGGCTTAAGCATATACGTAAGGATTGGTTCTCACCCAGAATAATAATGAGAAGAACCCTTATTCAGAAAACCAATCCTTATGCATATGTGTAAGCCTTCTGCACAAGAATTGGCTAAAAAGTGAATTTGGGGTTAAAAAATAGCTAAAAAGTGAATTTGGGTCAGAAAATGGCTATTTATATAAATTTCCCTATTAACATTTTATATACGGCAAAACTCACACACACACTCGCCACCATTTGTGAGACTTGAACCCTTGACCTCAAAGGAGATTGGGCTCTACCAGAAACCTAGATACCGTTGGGCCAATGACCCTTTGGTTCCTTTCATTCTCTTCCTTTTTGGAAGTATACAATATTTCATATATAGCAAAACTCACACACACTCGTCACCTTTAGTTTGACTTAAACCCTTGACCTCTAAAGAGGTTGGGCTCTACCAGTAACCTAGATACCATCGGCCCAATGAGGCAATGACCCTTTGGTTTCTTTTTCTTTTTTTGATTAACCTGGATATCCAACCCGCTATGCGAGCCGAATAATCCCAAGGCGACCACCTGTTTTGCAGATATCCCAGAGTCACCGCATTTGAACCTCCGTGGCCACAAGGGGATTTTTATTCCTCCTTGGATTTGAACATGGGACCTCCTGGTACTTGACCCTTTGGTTTCTTTCATTCTCTTCTTGTAAAAATTAGAAGTAAAGTTGTCTTAATGGGTAAGTTTGAGTACCTGAGATAAAATAATTGGACCACCTTGAGTCTCATACAGTCTTTCTGCTTTCATCATATTCACTATGTGTCTTGTGAATTTTTCCATAGCAGCCTACAGTATATGATTTAATCATCATTACATACTCATTTCAAAATACCCAGAAAAATATTTCTTAAAAAAATTGAAAAAAAATTATAACTTTATATGAAAGATTGAGAGGCAGACCTTAAAAGGGCCATTATCTGTTCTGAAACTAATTCCTGGAACATATTTCAACCAAACAGGAAACCCCCTGAAATTTAAATCACAAAAGAAGGTTAATAGATAGAGATGGGTTATTATACAAACCCTTTACATTTGTACAACCAATACAACTCAATCTCAACCGTCCATTTAATTTGATGAATATGTGATTTCATAGAAGTTTTGATTGTTTTCTAATATAAATTATTGATCATAATTGATGAACTTTATTCATTTTCCATAATTATTCAAATCATAATAAATTAACTCTCATCATTTCCATTATAAATGTAATAGGTTGCATTTGAAACGAACTATATATATATATATATACATATATATATATATATACATATATATATATATATACATATATATATATACATATATATATATATATATATACATATAGGGTCAAGTTTAGAGAAAACCACAAAAAGATGAAAAAATGAAGAAACCCCTGGTAACCAATTTGCCAGGTATGCACATGTGCATAAAATATGCACGTGCATAAAAACAGAGAAACGGCTTCAATTATTTGTATGCGCGTGTGCATGCCGTCCAGAATAATGGCTTCCAGGATTTCTCGATTTTTCATTTTTTTTGGGTTTTCCTTGAACCTCCCCTATATCCTCTCTCTCTCTCTATATCTATCTATATATCTATCTATCTATCTATATATATATATATATATATATATATATAATATTGTGAAAATATTTGCACAGATTACTAATTTTAGAAATCTTGAAATATTTACCCAAAGTTCCATTCAGCACAAGCATATGGACCAATTCTGAGATGAGCATACATTCCAGCTTGCTTAATTAGCTTAATGAACTTCACCAAATCATACCTATCCTGAAAATAATACTGGGAAAAAGAAATCTTGAAATTAAGAAAACAATTTACTAAATAAATAAATATTTTTTTTTTAAGTACACTTACTTGACCAGGTTGGGGTTCATGCCCATTCCAGAAAACATAAGTTTGAATCACATCCAACCCTCCTTCTTTTGCTTTTTGAATAAGCTCTGGCCACATCTGCAACATCATAATCACAATATATGAAACAGATTCAGCCATAAATAAACCCAGAAAGCTCATTCTTACAAACAAAGGGGGAAAAATAAATAACAAGAAAAACCCATTAAGCACATTGATAAGCAGTACCTCAGGAGTGCTTCTTGGATAATGAATAGATCCAGAAATAAGAATCTTTCTTTGGCCATTAATGGAGATAGCTTTGTGGTCATATGAAACAGACCCACTGCAGAAACAAACCCATGAACCCAATAACACCAAAAACACTAAATAAACCTTCTGCATTCCAATAAACCCTAGTTTTTTGAACCCAAAATCCATCAGAAACCCTTGAAAACAAAGCAAAATCCTCTGTCTGTGCCCTTTTAATTAGCTTTTATCCACTTTACTCTTTCTTTGAATCTAAAGAAAGATATCAAGAAACACAGTCGAGTGATTGATTTTATGAAGTAAAAGAACAGATTCTAGTTTTGATTTGTGTATAAAATCATGGATTTGGTGAGTGGTGTGTGAATGTTGAGAAAAAATGGAGTGTTATGGAGCTGCATTTAAGCAAGCAAGATTGGGTCCTACTTTTCTGTCGTAGCAACGCGGACTCATTTTTTATATTTTATAAATATTTATAAACTAATTAAGAAATATTCTCTGAATTTTAAATAAAATTCGAGTTACAGGAAGTATCCTCTTTTATTGTTTTAATATTTAATATTTAATCATTTTTTAAAATTAGAGATCTAAATTAATTACATTATGAATTTTTAAAAATATAATTATGGATTTTTTTTTAATAAATTGCTAGGTATATTTAAATATTTTAAATTATTTTTTTATAAAATAAAATCAAGATAAATAATTATGTATTCACGGGAACCCAGCTTCATCTCTATCTCGTTTTCATCCTTAATCTGGCTTTTTATAATGCGATATTTTAGTCAACGACTTACTCGAGTTTCGTCTTCACGTCATATTTTGAACCTTAATATGGCCTTTTTAGATGGAAAACGGTTGCACAAACTAAGTGACTACTTACCAGCCTCTCTATGTTCGGCTTTAAACCCCGAGAAAACCCTGGTAGGAATTAAGTTGTTGATTTTAGAAGTGATTCCATCTAAATATGAGTAACGATGTTGTTGCAGTTAGATTCAGTGCTGAAATTACCCACGTTTTTTTATCATATACCAGTCGAATACCTTTGTGAATAGCCTCCGATTCAAGAACGACTGGGTTGAAAGGCTTCGCTATGAACCCATCGCTCGCGAACAACACGTTCTCGTCACTCCCACGGGCGACCACCCCAAAGCTACTACAACCACTTTTACTGTCTCTTCTTAAATCGACATTTAAAGTTCGAGTTTTAGTCGGCATGTGACTTAGGTTCGCTTTCCTCGTCCAACTCCCATCCCTAAAATGCAATTTATTAGTAAGCCACCGATTCATGTTTGCATTCTCCGTCAGGGGCAGACCCACTCAATTGGATATGGACATACGGTGGAATGGGCTACCGCTTATTTCCTTCATCGTAGTGTAAAAATTTATAGGGTCGTGAAATATGTCATCATATCATGATCTCGTTCTATGCAACTGTATATATTTTGAAAACTATAATGGTAACACAAATTTCCCTTAATATAGTTGGTTTGGATTGTTTTTTTCCCACCATATACCCGAGTTTAAATTATGTTTTGGGTCATTTTCCTTAGCTTCTCAATTTAAATTTATTTTGTTCTGGATTTTTTTTGCAATAAAAGAGTATCTCGCATATGAAAGAGAAAAAAATAACCAATGGCTTAGCGATATCGTAGGCTTTAGCCTCTTAGTAGGTCAAGGGTTCAAACTCCACCATACGTGAGAATGATGTGTGAGTTTATTTATTTGTTGCATTTGGCGTATGTAAATATTATATATTATTTTATAAAATTTATTCTGTTATTAATTATAGTAACATGTGATTTTGGTCAACTGGTGCTGTAGCATCATGGTTAAAAAAGGGAATCTTGTGGGTTTGAAAAGCGGCTGTAAAAACGTACTTTTATTTTATACACCTTTATTCTCTTGTACGGTACCACTCTTACTACCATCATCAATTCCTAATTCATAAATCAATTATTTTGTGTTGTTACTTGAAAAGTCCATCATAATAGTCGAGGGATGTTTGGTTAGGTAGTATTTGGTATGCAGATATGATATGACTGCACGGGACATAACAAATGTTTGTCTGGTGTTTGATACGACTAGAATTGAATGAGACATAATTAGATAAGTTATCCCCAAAAGTTATTTGATTATTTTAAATATTATATTATAATTATAATTAACACAAATAAAGTAATAATCAAATAATTTAATTTATAAAAAAAATTACACTTTTTCATATAAATAAATACGTACATTTATAATGATTGAAATTTAGAATGAAAATTTGATATACTTGATGGCAGTAGTAGTGGTGGTCGAAGATAGTAGTGGTCGATGGCCGATGGTGATTATGGAGGTAAAGGCAGTGGTGGTTGTGGAGGACGTGAAGATGGTGGATTATGGTGGTGGTGGCGATTGACAATAGTGGAGGAGACAGTTGTGGCTAATGTAGTGAAAGTCTACTCAGCAGTTGAGGCTAGATAAGGGATTGAGATTGAATCTAGGACTTGTCTTGTATTTGGATAAAGTCGTATAATTTTTTTTATCATCTGAACTGCACGTCAAAAATAGTTCAATGATGTATTTGTTCAAAAAAATAATCCATAAACTTAATATTTAAACTTTTTAATCAAAAAATCCATTGAAAATTTGCTAGACTTTTCCCATAGACAAACATACATATACACACACATATAGGAGTCCATTCAAGTGAGAACTGATTAGCTTGTGGTAACCGTAAGATCCAATGTGAACCACTCGTTTGAGATATTTTTTAAATAAGCTAAAAGGGTAATATAGTAATTCTATTTTTGACAACTAATTAAAATATTTAATAATTTTTTTTGAATGAAATATTTAATTAAAATTTGATACTTTGTATATCAATTACGTGATATGACGTTTGTGAATCAAAGTGTATCATAGTGATAACGTTCACAATGTTTCACGTGTATCACAATGTATTTTCTTTGTTTTTTGAAATGTATCATAGTATACATTTTTGTTATTTTCATTGTTTTACAAAGGGTATTGCATTGTGCATCTTGTATGTATATATGGGTATCACAGTGAATATCATTTGTAAGTATCACAATGTATATCTTGTGTTTACATAAAATTAATTGGAATAAAGTTCGTCAGAGAGAAGAGAGATGAGAGAGGATATCTCTAAAATTTCTAAAATGTCTTAATATTTTAAGTTAAAATTACCAAAAATTATTAGTTTCTTAATTAAATCTTTAATTTGTCGTTGAGATTGAATCTCACGATTATTATAAACAAAACAGTTCTCATTTGATTATATATATATATATATATATATATATATATATAAATATGGGTTCGAGCAGGACTGGTTGTTCATATTTGACTTAAATCAAATACGCTTTTCAGATCCATATTTTAAGTGGTGTGATTTGGATCGATGAACCGGGCGGCTCGGTTCTTACTAAATTTTCGGTAGCATGATGAGAAATGATTTAAAGCGTAAAAAGTGGGTGGGTTCATATATAGTCCCAACCCTAATCATTAATGATTTAAATAAAAAACCCGGTTCGGTTCAAATAATTAAATTTGCGCGTGTTGCTTCCCTTTGGTGCAATTATCTCCCCCTGTCACGGCATTAGGTTTTTGGGTCTATAAATTATAAAATCCATAATATGTTTAAAAAATTAATATTTCTTAAATTTAAAAAAAATTAAATAATTATTATAGTTTATTGGAATTTTTTTTATTGAAAAATGCTGGGAAAAACAAACTCAAGGGTTGTTTGTTTACCTCTTAATAATTCTATTAAAAGGTAATATCTGAATCGTTAATAGGTGAATCTTGTTTGACAAAAAAAAATTATCTTTTAATGTTACAACCACCATCCCTTTTTCAGGGACTCATCGTATTTGATGAGGTCTTGTCCCACCATCACGATACTATACATATTGAGTATGATATCGTTTTGTAATTCCCAATAGCTCAAAGCAACAGATTAACCCACTTCAAATTTAAAAATATGATAAAAGTTATTGGTATCTCACAACTTTAAACCTATAATACGCTCATAAATCTTGTTTTATTTATGTGGGATTGGTTATTACACTGTCAATCAGATATAATTTAAGTATTTGATTGTTTATTGTCTTGGTATATGATGCACAAATATGAGTTAGAATTTTTATTTATTTATTATAAAAATCCAACACTTTTATAAATTAGATAAAGAACCTCTTTTTTAATTAACCTGAATATCCAACCCGTTATGCGAGTCGATTAATTTCAAGACGACCACCTGCTTTGCAGATAGCTTGGTGTCACTACATTTGAACCTCCATGGCCACAAGAGAATTTTTATTCCTCTTTGGATTTGAACCTGGAACCTCCGGTACTTTGACCTAGCGGTATGTGAAACTTTATCCTTCTAGAAGGCTAATAGTTCAAATCTCACCAAATAGGATGAGAATATGTGGGTTTATTTATTCTATTTATCGTATATAAATATTATATACTTAAAAAATGCTTTTTATAAATTATTTAAAAAATTAAAGACATATTTTAAATTTTTTAACCCAAATGCTCCCCATCAAATTGGGGCATTTCATTCATAATACATGGGTTTTCTGTGTATTTGTCTCTTGAAATAAAACCATTTAAAATAAATAAAAATCAACTTTATAGGGAAAATAAAATAATAAAAATTTGAAAAAATATAAATAATTAAAATATAATTTTTTAAATAATCCTTTTGACATTTGAATTTTTGTCTTAAGACTGTTGTTGTTTTTTGTACGAGAATCGAATAACATGTTTTTTATTTATTTTTATCAATAAATTACTAATATTTATTTAATCATGTAAAAATAATTTTAAAACATAAAAGGGTAGATAAGTAAATTACTAATAAGACCATAAATGAGACTTTGTGGTCCGTGAGTAAACTACAGCTGCCTCGTACAACTGAATTCCATTTATACCCTCGTCCTCAACATACAAATCTCCTTCAAATTAAAATATCTTTTAATATCTTTTTTTTAAATAATTTAAAATTCATTAAGTTATGATTAATAGATTGTGACTTCAAACCACTTTTCGTTGATTTTTGGTTTTCTTTTAAAGCATTTTTTAAGATAAGGTCGAAGTGCAATAGTCTTAAAATAAAACATGTAAAAGACTTAAAACGGGACCGAAATAAATACAGTTTGACACATGACGGATCTGTTTATGTCTGAGCAGACGTTTAGATACCCACTCAACTTATTTTCACAACTAGGGTTTTTTATAGGCATGAAAATTGCATCTTTTGAGGATGTTAGAAGATGTAAGCAACGTCAAGCAAAAAACCAAAAAATTATAAATGTCTTTCGAAATC